GAAAGACCAGTCGAGGGTGAATCCCGATAGCCTCCATTTTCCATGGCCTGCTCATTGTCTCCTGCAAGCATGGAGTTCTGCTCAGCTTTCCTACTGTTTTCCTCATCATTCTCGTCATCGTTGTCAGCCAAACTTTGATCACTCCTTGAATTTTCATTGCTCGCCCGGACCTCAGAAGTCATGACTTTCGGGCTCAGTTTGGAGATGTTGCGAGTTGATTGTGCCACGCGAGTGAGCACTTCACGATGCAGCTGTGTCTCAACCATTCGTGTATTGCAGCCCGGGCTGAAGCAGCAGCTACGGCAGACCTAAAACCGACAAGTGGATGTTTACACATCTTGACCATATCCTACTTGCGGGTGCTCACTACTTTTGACGCCTGCAACAATTGCAAATTAAGGGAAACACGGAGCTGAGTACTTTTGTTTTTTGATTCGTTCACTTTGTTCGTGAACTCATTGACGTTTACTTACCGCAAGAACGGCGAAAGCAGCACCACTTAAGATGGCGGGTGCCAGGAAGAAGGAGATCTGCCATGAGGGCCTGAAATGGCACTCGTTTATGGTTTGAAAGAGGTTCCTCGCACCACAGGGTCCTACAGCCGCTTGTAGCTACTATACGGGGATTCTTAGTTTATGTTAAGAATTGTCTCCTACAAGAATGGAACGTCCCATTCTATGATTTCATGATTTATGAGTCCATGGCACTTCTTTATCCAAACTTCACGATCGTGTATCGTACACTAAGTTAATCATCTACAGATTACGGTAAAGCATATCAAACAGAGGCAATGCTACTCAAGCATGTTCTGATTAAAAGTTAGCGAAATTCACCTTTTGACTTATTATATCACTTATTCGTCTGTAGCTGGGTGTGTAAAGAATTATGCGTATTTTGTGATCTATCTAACATTGATGGATACTTAAGCGCCAGATTTCACACTTCTGATAAGCCATGTAAAAAATTATTAAAACGATGAAACTCTTTAAAGTAAACTTATCTTTATCTGATGAGTGACAGCACCAATTATCAGGAGTGTCAGCGGAAGTTCAAGAAGAATAGGAAGTGTGATCGGTTCAATGACATCACATTTATAGGATTTATTGAAGATATGAAGACCAAGATGTTATGGCCTCTGGTATGGTCGCAGTCTCCTTTCGATTTATAGAAGTGGGTTAACCTCT